CTTTTCTTCCAGATGTTTAAGAGTGGGACATTTCCTTGCCATCTTCTCATGTTACTGTATTTAGTCCCATTTTGTTTTCTTCTCCTTTCCACAGTTTACACAGCAAGTTCATGAGGGATTGCTAGTTGCTTTACTGAAAAAGAGTGCAGATTCTTGTACTCCTGGCAAGGGAGGAGTTAATTGGTGTTATTTGGAAGTCCTTTTACATTATCCAGATTTGGTTAGAGATAGGATTATTCTGATGTTCTTTATTTTTCTCCTTAATTTACAAAGAGCTCTCTTATCTCAGACATTCTGGTGCTTTGGTGGAATTTTCTAAATGATACAACCTGCTACATAGCAATTTTTTGGGAGAACTGCAATTTGACCCTTAAATTGGGGCAGGATTCAAGCAAAATAGAGACCTCCTGACCAGAGCCTCTGCTCAGATTCCTAACAGGAACACACTTCTCATCTGAATGGTCGTAGGAGATCGGATGACAGAGGCAGTTCTATCCGTTTGTTGTGCTCCTCTTTCGCTTACCTGAAAACTATCTTAAAATGATTGCTTTCCAAATGCAGTGACACAGCAGTCTGTTTTCTAGAGACCTTACATTCAGTAAACTCCCTGCTCTGAAGGTCTGCCCTGGCAATTCTGGAGGTGCTTTAAAGCAAAATGAGCAGTTCACGAAGGCATAGAAAGGACAGAGAATAATAGAATCTGTAAGATTTGGGGATCACAAAAAGTGATATGTTCACCCCACTTGCCTTGCTGGAAGGGACCTCAAATGGTCTTTATGTTCATCTTCCTGCCTCCATGCAGGAGGGTAGCAAAGTTTTCCGCTCACGTGGAAATTAGATCTAATGCTATCAATGCCTCAGGAATTTTTAAAAGCTGATCTTATATTTATTTTTAAGCAGATTGACTCTTCTACAGTTTTACTCATTCTTCTATTGACTACTAAATTTGACTGTTAGGGATATTCCTCATTTGGAAAGTAATTTGCTCCTTGCTGCTGTTACAAACATGCCTAATTTTTTAAATTATCCGGTTACCACAGGAAAGTTAATCATGATAATCTAGAGCTTAAGTCTTGACTTTTTGGTTTTTTGAATTTGTGAAAAGCACAGTTTATTGTAAGGTGACTTGCATTCTCCCTAAATTTAACCCCTTGCCTTTCCTGGCACTGCAGATTGTGGACAGAGAAATAGAGCTGAAGTCAGAAGCCTCAAATCCCAAATCCACTATTATAAGCTGCATCACCATTTTTGTTACTCTTAATTTATAGCCCAAATTTTCTCATTTGCAAAATGTGAAAAAGCATACCTATGTTCCAGATAAATCAGGTAACAAATGTAGAAAGCATTTTTAAAATGCTAAAATAGGGGTTTCTGGGTGGTACAGTCAGTTGAGCATCTGGCTCTTGGTTTCTGCTCAAGTTATGATCTCAGGGTCCTGGGATGGAGCCTGGTGGCGGGTCTCCGTGCTCAGTGGGGAGTCTGCTAGAGATTCTCTCTCTCTCTCTCTCTCTCTCTCTCTCTCTCTGCCCCTCCCACTCATGCGCGCTCTCTCTCTCTCTCTCTCTCTCTCAAATAAATGAATAAGTCTTTTTTTAAAAAATGCTTAAATATTGTAAAGATGTGCTTATTTTTAGGGTTTACTCCCTAATGCCCCATGTTAGCTTGTTTGGGATCTCTTTGGGCCCCTACCCTTCCCTGCTCTTCCTGTTTTTGCCCTACTTTCCTTCTCCTTTTCCTAGTGTCCAGCTATCCTCCATGGAATGTTGTTATAGCAGAAATCTCAGAGACTACACAAAAGCTAAAAATACAGCCAAGAAAGAAAGTAATACTAGTGTACAGAGACCTTCTTCCTGTTAAACATATTACTTAGAGGATGTTAGGAGATGGGGCCAAGGAAACGAGAGAAAGGACAAAGCAGATGGGGATGCCAGGAATGAGAGCAGGAGAGAGGAGAAGTCAAGAGTCAAGGATCTGGGAAAGAATCCACTAGAAAAGGAGAAACACAGAATTAACGTCACTGTCACTAACGCCCATCCCACCCCACCCCACCCCAGCATCTGGACTCGGTTGAGAAAAGAGGGGAAAAGGACAGTATAAATCCAACAAAACATGAAAGTATATGAAAAGGAGTTTGTACTGAAAAGAATAAGGTAAGCACAAGAATAAAATTATTTTCAGGAAGGGGAGTATCAGATTACATTGCAGGCAGGCACTGTGATAAAGTTATGATGCAGTGAGCATAGTTTAGTAAGAGAGTTTGATTCCTACAGCCAATTACTGGGAGGAGGAAAATGTAAATTGCTGTTATATTTGTACTGCAGGTAAAATTATCCTATGGCCAATGAAGTAGAGAAAAGGGATTTGCTGAAAATGTGGTTAGAACTCATGCTGTACACTCAATCCATGTGATAGAGAGAATGTGGGAGATGAACTTGGAGGAGCACATATTCCCATCTGCTTTTCTTCCCCAAAGAATCAGATGGCACTCTGCAATAATTTAGATGTAGGAGTTTTAGATGGCCACTTGATATGGGAATTAAAAGAATGAAGGAATTGGAAGAGGAATCACCAGTAAACCATGAGTTGGAATCCACTGAGGAAGTAGGGTGGCCTAAATGGAGCAACAATCCTATTAAGGGCTAAATTTTTCTCTAGTGGAATTTCTTGAGCCAGGAAACTGCTAATACCTAGGCTACCTTATAATTAAAGGAAGCTAAACAAGCCCACTTGCAGACCTAAGTTCCCGTGAAAACATCACTACCCAATCTTCAATCTCTTCTGACATATGATATATAAGATGCCTTTCTCTGAGCCTGGATAAAGACAGTAGCAGACCATCTTATGCCCTGGGTCCCACCCCTACAAGACTACTTCAGAAACTAATATTAGGGGGATCTCTGTGTGGCTCATTGGTTTAGCACCTGCCTTTGGCCCAGGGCATGATCCTGGAATCCCAGGATTGAGTCCCACATCAGGCTCCCTGCATGGAGCCTGTTTCTCCTCTACCTGTGTCTCTGCCTCTCTCTCATTCTCTGTGTCTCTCATGAATAGATAAATCTTTTTTAAAAAGAAAGAAACCAATATCAGAGGTAACAATGAGGATAGTGAGCTAAGGTTGGGAGAATTATATTCTGCATCTCTAAACTCCCCAGGGAACAAAGCCATAGAGGTAAACTATTTTTTTTTCACATTGCAAATGTATCCCATGACCCATCCTTTTTTTTTTTTTTTTTTCTTTCTTTTTCTTAATTGGTCCTTCTCTTTCTGATCACATCCATCTCATCTCAGGTCATCTTTGTTACCCCACCAAAAGCATGAGGATCAGTTTCCCACTATAATGTTGTTTTGAGATTCATCAAGTTAATTTCACTCCTACTTTGGCTGCTCTGAAATCAGCCACTTTATGCAAAATTGAATGTAGATGCCGTTACACATAGGTTGATCAAGTTGCCAGTGAAGAGAGGCTTTTTTTTTCGTGGTTGGGGAGACTAGACTTTCTTATAGTTAATTTCAAGTAACTCTCCCCGCTGCCAGGCCTTTAGGCAGCTTTCACAGCGTTAGGCTCTCTAGTTATGCTCTGTGGCCAACAAAAAGAGAAAACAAAAAAAACTTTAGGCCTCAAAACTAGGACTTGACTTCTTAGATCTGACTTCACTTGCAGGTTTAGGATCCTAAAGCTGTGGCTTCTACCTTCACATCCATCCAAATGAGATATGCAAAATTCATGACTCCATTTTACTAGGTCGTTGTGTAAGAGAAAGTGACAGAGGGAAAACTAAAATCTTTTGCCTTGAGAGCAAAATACTTCACCTTCCACTTCAAATAGAGCCAATGAGACTGAGCAGAAAACATCTCCCATAGCTACCTGTCAGGTGTTATAGCAAGGGAAGGCAGGAACAAATCCTTTGTATAAATCAGGAATGTTCTGGTTCTTGTAATGAAACACAAACTTATGAAAGGTAGTCTTGTACATAGAAATATTCAAATATCAGAAAAATTAGTAAGTAGTGCCTCTCCATAGTATGGGGATAAGAGAGGTTTGTTTATCTTTTTGTTTGTATGGGAAAATTAAAGACTATCAAGTTATATTTTGTGTACATATCAATAACCAAATAATATGCCTTAAATATAGTCCATCATATTTCTCTTGATCTTTGAAATAGGCAAGGAAGTTTCATTTTCAGGAGCTCCCCTTAGCACAAATATGCTCCCAGCATTATATCCACCTTTCATTACTTGACTCATATTTTTGCTCTTAATTTAATGGGTTTATAATTTAACTCTTCTGTTTCTTTTTTTTTTTTTAAGATTCCATTTATTTATTCATGAGAGACACAGAGGCAGAGAGAGAGAGGCAGAGACATAGGCAGAGGGAGAAGCAGGCTCAATGCAGGGAGCCTGATGCGGGTCTCCATCCCGGGACTCCAGGATCACGCCCTGGGCCAAAGGCAGGTGCCAAACCTCTGAGCCACCCAGGGATCCCCTGTTTCTTTTTTTTTTCTTTTTTTAAAGAATTTTTTTAAGTCTTTTTTTTTAAAGATTTTATTTTATTCATTCATGAGAGAGAGACACACAGAGAGAGAGAGAGAGAGAGAGGCACAGACACAGGCAGAGAGAGAAGCAGGCTCCATGCAGGGAGCCTGATGTGGGACTCGATCCTGGGTCTCCAGGATTACACCCTGGGCCAAAGGCAGCACTAAACTGCTGAGCCACCCAGGCTGCCCTGTTTCTTTTTTTATAAAAGAAATTTGGAAGAATAAAATATATACCAAAGAAATGCATTGTTTTCAAGTAAAAATAAAGTTCATAACTTTCAGTCAGTGAAAATACTTTTCTTCTTATTCTTTTTTTTATTTATTTATTTATGATAGTCACAGAGAGAGAGAGAGGCAGAGACACAGGCAGAGGGAGAAGCAGGCTCCATGCACCGGGAGCCCGACATGGGATTCGCTCCCAGGTCTCCAGGATCGTGCGTGCCCTGGGCCAAAGGCAGGCGCCAAACCACTGCGCCACCCAGGGATCCCCTTTTCTTCTTATTCTAAACCTGTAGAGATAAAACACAAACAACAATAACAAAACGAATATTTAGATAAGTTCAAAAACAAGAGAAGAAACTCTCTAGATGCCAGACCTGAAGCAGAAACGAAAAGCCGTAACAGGAAGCAAGGTAGCCAAACTGTTAGGTGCCTTTGTACAAATCAGAAAATGGACCACCGTCTGAGTAGATTAACTCTTGTGGGTGCAGAACTTTCTGAGTTCTGAGTTCTTATTATCTATTTATTTGAGAGAGAGAGAGAGAGAGAGAGAGAGAGAGGCAGAGGGAGAAGCAAACTCCTGGATGAGCAGGGAACTTGAAGTGAGGTTCAATCCCAGGACCCTGGGATCATGCCCTGAGCTGAAGGCAGATACTTAACCAACTGACCCACCCAGGTGCCCCTGAGTTCTGAGATTTTACTGAGTCACACCACCTTGCCCAAGAGCCTTTGTATAGGGTATAACCGGCACAGTTGTACCCAGTCACACTGACAAGTGAGAGCAGAAGCTACATCACTCAGAGAGGTTTTGAAATTGGAAATAGGTCTTAGGGGCTGAGCGACAGAGTTGTTTTGGGGTTTTTGTTTTTTTAGATTATTTTATTTGAGAGAGAGAGAATGCATGCACATGCAAGAGCTGCAGGAGGGGCAGAAGGAGAGGGAAAAGAAGCAAGTTCCCCACTCAGCCCAGAGCCCAAGGCGTTTGGATCCCATGATCCAAGATCATGACCTGAGCCAAAATCAAGAGTCAGACACTCAACTAACTGAGCCACCCAGGTGCCCCAGGGATAGAGGGGATAGAGCTTAAATACATATATGAGGAAAAGACACTAAGTCTTAAGTCCACAAAAGACAGGAGGCTGATTGTACATCCTTGCTCATAGTAGCATTATTCTCAATAGCCAAAAGGTGGAAGCAACCCAAGTGTCCATTGAGGGATGAATGAATAAACAAAATGTGATATATATATGTACAATAGAATATTATTCAGCCTTAAAAAGAAAGAGGATTCTGACACATGGACAAACTCTTGAGGATATTATGTTAAGTGAAATAAGCCAGTCACAGAAAGATAATATTTGTTGATCCCACTTATATTAAGTACTTAAAATAGTCAAATTCGCAGAGATAAACAGTAAAATGATAGTTTCCAGGGGCTGGGGGAAAGAGGAGTGGGGAGTTACTGTTTAACGGGGATGAAATTTCACTTAGGGAAGATAAAAATTTTGGAGATGAATGGTGGTGATGGTAGCACAAAAATGTGAACATTCTTAATGCCACTGAATTGTACACTTAAAAATAGTTAAGGGGGGGCACCTGGGTGGCATCTGATGGTTAAGTTTCTGATGCTTGGTTTTAGCTCAGGTCATGATCTTGGGGTCATGAGATCCAGCCCAGAGTCATACTCCATGCTCAGTATGGGTCTGCTTAAGAGTCTCTCTCTTGGGGATCCTTGGGTGGCGCAGCAGTTTAGCGCCTGCCTTTGGCCCAGGGCGGGATCCTGGAGACCCGGGATCGAATCCCGTGTCAGGCTCCCAGTGCATGGAGCCTGCTTCTACCTCTGCCTCTCTCTCTCTCTCTCTCTCTCTCTCTCTCTCTCTCTCTCTCTGTGTCACTATCATAAATAAATAAAAATTTTTAAAAAAGAGTCTCTCTTTATGTTGGTAAATTGAACACCAATAAAAAATAAATTTATTTAAAAAAAAGAGTCTCTCTCTTTCCCTTTGGCCCTCCTGCTTGGGCTTTCTCGTTCTAAAATAATAAATAAATCTTTAAAAAAATAGTTAAGATGGTAAAATTGTATAGTATGTGTATTTTATAATTTTTTAAATAAAAAAAATTTTTTAAATAAATGCAGACTTTAAAAATAAGATCCTAATATGAAAAAAAGAAAGAGAGCTAAAACCAAAGTCCCTGCATAACCCCAGGAGCCACAAAGGACTGCCCTTGAGGTAAATGAGCAGATACTGTGGACTTTATCAGAAGCAGTAGTGAATGCTGCTGTCAGCTAAAATCTGAAGAAATCATAACCCAGACCTGTACCACTCATGGATATAAAGCCTAAATTCATATTACCTGCAAACTGTAAGAACCTAAATAGAAAAACATACATCAAAAGTGATTCATGGGAGGGGGGGATAAATAGGCAGAGCACTATGACAATGACATTTTATTTTTATTTTTTAAATTTTTTTTTAATTTTTATTTATTTATGATAGTCACACACACACACAGAGAGAGAGAGAGAGAGAGAGAGGCAGAGACACAGGCAGAGGGAGAAGCAGGCTCCATGCACTGGGAGCCCGACGTGGGATTTGATCCCGGGTCTCCAGGATCGCGCCCTGGGCCAAAGGCAGGCGCCAAACCGCTGCGCTACCCAGGGATCCCGACAATGACATTTTAGATACAACACCCAGTTTGATATAGTGATGGTGGATACATGTCATTATACATTTGCCAGAATTCCTAGAATGGACAGGACCAAGAGTTAACCCTAATGTAAACTATGGTCTTTGGGTGACAACAGAGTTCATAGATTGTAACAAATATACACACTATGGTGTGGGATGTCAATAGCAGAAGCAACTGTGGGTATAGAGACAGGGGGTACATGGAAACTCGCTGTACTTTCCACTGTAAATTGAAGATGGTCTAAAAAGTTTTTATTAACTCAGTAAGGTCACAGGACACAAAATCAATGTGCAGAAATCTGTTGCATTTCTATACACTAATAATGAAGTAGCAGAAAGAGAAATTAAGAAAACAGTCCCATTTACAATTATACCAAAAATAATAAAATAAGGGGTGCCTGAGTGGCTCGGTCCGTTAAGCATCTGACTATTGATTTTGGCTCAGGTCATGATCGCAGGGTCCTGGGATTAAGCCTCGCATCAGGCTCCCTTATCATCAGAGAGTCTGCTTGTCTCCCTCTCCCTCTGCCCCTGCTGCCACTCATGCTCTCTCTCTAAAATAAGTAAGTCCTTAAAAAATAATAAACTTGACCGAGGAGGTGAAAGACTTGTAGTCTGAAAACTATAAAACATTGATGAAAGGAATTGAAGATGAAACGAACAAATAGGAAGATATTTCATGCCCATGGATTGGAAGAAGACATATTGTTAAAATGTTCTACTCAAAGCAATCTACCCATTTAATCCAATACCTAATGGAAACACCAACAGCATTTTTCCCAGAACTAGAACAGATAATCCTAAAATTTGTACGGACTCCAAATAGCCTAAGTAATGTTGAAAAAGAAGAATAAAACTGGAGGGGATCCCTGGGTGGCGCAGCGGTTTGGCGCCTGCCTTTGGCTCAGGGCACGGTCCTGGAGACCCGGGATCGAATCCCATATCGGGCTCCCGGTGCATGGAGCCTGCTTCTCCCTCTGCCTATGTCTCTGCCTCTCTCTCTGTCTCTGTGACTATCATAAACAAATAAATTAAAAAAAAATAAAGAATAAAACTGGAGGTATCACAATCACAGATTTCAAGATATACCACAAAACTGTTGTAATCAAAACAGTATGGTATTAGCAGAAAAATAGACACATAGATCAATGGAACAGAATAGAGAGCCCAGAAATAAATCTACCATTATGAGGTCAATTAATCTTCTTCAACAAAGGAGGCAAGAATATGCAATGGGAAAAAGACTGTCTCTTCAACAAATGATGTTGGGAAAACTGGACAGCCACACGCAAAAGTATGAAACCAGAGCACTTTCTCACACCATACACAAAAACAAACTCAAAATGGTTAAAGACCTAAATGTAAGACCCGAAACCATAAAATCCCTAGAAGAGAGCACAGGGAGTAATTGGCCTTCACAACATTTTTCTAGATATGCTTCCTGAGGCAAAGGGGAAAAAAGGAAAAATAAACTATTGGGACTATATCAAAATACTAAAAGACAGCCTACTGAATGGAAGGAGAAATTTGCAAATGACATATCTGATAATGGGTTTGTATCCAAAATATATAAAGAACTTACACAACTCACTACCCAAAAACCAAATAATCCAATTTAAAAAATGGCAGAAGACACAGAGAAATTTTTCTAAAGAAGACATACGGATGTCTAACAGACACATGAAAAGATGCCCAACATCACTAATCATCAGGGAAATAAATCAAAACCACAAGATATAACCTCACACTTGTCAAAATGGCTAAAATAAAAAACACAAGAAACAACAAGTGTTGGTGAGGATGTAGAGAAAAAGGAACTTTTGTGCACTGTTCGTGGAAATGCACACTGGTACAGACATTGTGGAAAATACTAGAGAGATTCCTCAAAATTAAAAATAGTTTTGCCATATGATCCAATAACTCCACTATTGGGTATTTACCCAAAAAATACGAAAACACTAATTCAAAAAGACATATTCAACCCTATGTTTATTGCAGCATTATGTGAAATAGCCAAATTATGGAAGCAGCCCAAGTATCCATCAATAGATAAATGCATAAAGAAATGTGGTATATATACACAATGGAATATTACAAATACTACATTATTTCACAACCATGTGGAATTTAAGAAGCAAAATAAATGAACAAAGAAAAAAAAGAGACAAACCAAGAACAGACTCTTAACTATAGAGAACAAACTGATGGTTATCAGAGGGAATGTGAGTGAGGGGATGGGTGACATAGGTGAAGGAGATTAAGAGTACACTTATCTTGATGCGTATTGAATAACATAGAATAGAAGCTTGAATCATCATATTGTACACACTAATATAACACTGTATGTTAACTGTTCTGGAATTTAAATAAATAAATAAGTTCCTCTGGGAAAAAAATACAAAAACACTAATTCAAAAAGATATATGCACCCTTATGTTTAATGCGGCATTATTTAAAATAACCAGATTATGGAAGCAATCCAATTTCCATTGATAGATGAATGTACAAAGACGTGGTATATATATACCTTACTTACTCAGCCATAGAAAAGAATGAAATCTTGCCATTTGCAACAAGGAGAGATATAGAGGATATAATGCTAAGTAAAATGAGTCAGAGACAAATGTCATATGATTGCACTCATATATGGAATTTAAGAAACAAAACAAATGAGCAAAGGAAGAAAAAAAGAGAGAGGCAAACCAAGAAACACTCTTAACTATACAGAACAAACTGACCGGTAACTGACAGTTACCAGTGGGGAGGTGGATGGGTGATGGGTGAAATAGGTGATGGGAATTAAGGAGTGCACTTGTGGTGAGCACTGGGTATTGTATGGAAGTGTTGAATCATGATGTTGTACACCTGAAACTAATATTACACTGTATGCTAGCTGGAATTTAAATAAAAACTTTAAACATTTTTAAGAATTATATGTTAAAATTATAAAGCACAGGGTCACCTGGGTGGCTCAGCCATTGAATATCTGCCTTCCTCCCAGAGCGTGATCCTGGAGTCCCAGGATTGAGTTCCACTTCAGGCTCCCTGCATGGAGCCTGCTTCTCCCTCTGCCTGTGTCTCTGCCTTTCTCTCGCTCTCTCTTTCTCTTTCTCTTTCTCTCTCTCTCGAATAAATAAAATATTTTTTAAAATTCCCACAAGTTGGTAATAATAAATAAGATCGTTTAAAAATAATAAAATAAAATTATAAAGCACAGAATTAGAAAATCTCTAATATTAAACTTAATGAAATAGTTGATAGGGGTAAAAATCATTAATAAATGAAACCACTAAATAAAAGGTTGTTGGAGAACTTTACAATGAAGGGCTCAGACTGTCACCATCTGAACCTACTGATTAATCTTAGCATCACTAGTAATAACACAATTAGATATGCTAGTCTCCTGATTTGATATAATATGGCATTAACTCTGAAGTATTTTCATCAAAAATATTGAGCCTGAGGCACTAATTTTGCCTCTCTTAACTTGGTTTATAATGACAGGAGAAAGAGAGGAATAAATTAGATGATACCATCAGGAAGCGGACAAATTCAGAATGTGGGACATTCTATAAGATAACTCATCTAATTTATTCTGTAAGTCAATGTCACATTAAAAAAAAAAAGAGGGGCCACCTAGGAGCCACATGTCCAACTCCTGATTTTGGTTCAGGTTGTAATCTCAGGCTTGTGAGATTGAGCCCCTCATCAGGTTCCACACTGGGCATGGAGCCTACTTAAGATTCTTTCTCTCCCTCTGCTACTCCCTCCCCCCAAAAATAAAAATATTAAAAATTAATTTTAAAAAAAAGAAGGAGTATGCTACATCAGTGTTCTCACCAGAGACATTTTGTCCTGAGGGGAACATTTAACAATTTCTGGAGACATTTTTTATTGTCTCAATGTGAAAAGTGCTACTGGAAACTAAGCAGTAGAGGTCAAGGATGCTACTTAGCATCCTACAATGCACAGGACACCCCAAACATGTAAGAATTATCTGCTCCAAAATGTCAATAGTGCCACTGATGAAAAACCCTGTGCTAAAGGAGATTGAAAAGACACAACAATATAATTTAGTATGTAGGTCTTATTTGGATCCTGATTTAATGAAACCAAAACCACAAAAAGACATTTTTGAGACAATCAGAGAAATCTGAACATAGATTGGTGTTCAGATTGGTATTAGATAATACTGAAGAATTATTGCTGAGTATGTGTTGTGTATGATATGTAAGAAAATGTCTATAATTTTCAGAGATTACTAAAATATATAGGGATGAAATGGCACAATGTCTAGGGTTTTCTTTAAAATATTTCACAAAAAAAAAGATTACATAATACTGTTGACAAAGTATTGTTAAGTCTAGAATCTTGGCGATGGCTTTGTGAGTGTTCCCTCCATATGTGTTTATATATATATTTTTAAAGATTTTATATATTTATTCATGAGAGGCAGAGACATAGGCAGAGGGAGAAGCAGGCTCCATGCAGGGAGCCCAACGTGAGACTCCATCCTGGGACTCTAGGATCATGCCCTGGGCCGAAGGCAGAAGCTTAACCACTGAGCCACCCAGGGATCCCTTCATGTGTTTATATTTGATAAAATTTTTATTTGAAACCCAAAGAATATTCTTCAGAAAGAATACTTTAACTCAGCAGAAGAAAAAGGAATAGACAAGAAACAATGAATGTTATTCATGGAGGAATCCTTTTGTACTGTGAGCACCTTCTGTTCAGACTAGAAAGCACATGGTATGAAGCTGATGCCTATTCAGATCCTGAGATGAGCTGCACGGTGGCCAAGTACTTTCAGTCACAATTCAGTGAGAAGAAACAAGGTCTCCCTGCTTACCAAAAGATACTATATATGAAAAAAAAAGAAAAGTATTTTAATGGGTTCATTCTAGTTTGGAAGCTATTGTTATACATATTTGCTGAAGAACAAGATTTTTCTTATTTCATTTTTGTAGTAGAGGTTTTTGAGAAATTGGAATACTCTAAAATTTTTTAGTGTAAGGAAAAAATCACTGGGCTAACAAGGAAGGAATCTTCTAATGTGCCTCTTGTTTCTCTATATTTTCAAAGAGACTATCACTTTTTTTTTACATCTCAATTAATTTGATTACTGTATCTCTCAGAATATTAGGGACAAGATGATTTTCTATTTGTGAGTTTCTTTAGCTTGTTATCATCCAAAGTCCAGACACCTTATGTGACCTCATTAGTGTGGGTACAGTGATGGGTGTATTCCTCATAATTGGTAGTGATATTGGTGGAAAGTCAAAGCAAACTTGCACTGACCAAATAGAATCCTACGATCTGCTGGAAAGCAGCTATGGAAAAAATCATTCATTTGTATTGCAGGACAGAGGTATAGACCAAAATATGAGAAATTTTCACTGGGTAGTGAGTTAGATGATGCACCCTCAAATGATATATCTAAATTCTAATCCCTGGTACCCCTGAATGCAACCTTATTTGAAACAGTGTCTTTGCAGACATAATTAAGTTGAAAATCTCAGGGTAAGATCACCCTAGATTTAGGATAGACCCTAAATCCAATGGCTGTGTCCTTATAAAGGAAAAGAGAAGAAGCTTAGAGACACAAGAGAGATACAGGGGAAAAGCCGTGTGAAGATGGAAATAGAGATTGGAATTACACAGCTACAAGCCACAGGATGCCAAGGATTGCTAGCTGTCACCAGAAGAGTGAGGCATGGAATGAATTCTCTTTTAGCCTCCAAGAGGAACCAACCTTCCTAACACCTTGATTTTGGACTTCTGGCCCCAAGACTGTGAGTGTACAAATTTCTGTTGTTTAAAACCACCCAGTTTGTGGTAACTTTTTATGAAGGCTCAGGAAACTAATACAATTGATGTGGGGCAGATTTTCACAGAAATAACCTGATGAATTAAAACAAATGATTCAGATTCTCATATGGTCTTCATTTTGTCATTCATTTACTCATTTTCTTGTTCATTCGTTCATTCATCTAATATCCACTAATTATGTACTTGGCTCTAACATATAAACTGAGACTTTTTTAGATTCTTTGACCCATTCTTGGTCCAGGTAAATTTGGTTACTAACTTTTTAGGCAGAGGAAAGTTTGTTGTAGATATTTTGTACTTCACTTAGAAAGAGCTGTTGTTTCTGGATTCCTGTAAGTTACCTTGCATTCTGCCTAAGAGTTGGCCAACAAATGGCAATAACAAAAAATAAAATGGGAATTTTCTGTTTTCTCATAATTTCATCTAAGGCCACAAAGTTGAAGATAAATACCAACAAATACTTTCACATTGGGAGGATAGGTGCTAAATTCATCTATGCAGGATTTACAAAAAGATAAAAACCCTTATCACACATAATCTACGAATGAGAAAAAAAATTGCTACAGAAGGAGTCATTGAAAGGAATTCATAGAAGCAAAGGGTGTTAAGATTTTTTTCCTCTTGGAAACACTCTTTACAGCTGTGCTACATGTACACTGCACAACTACAGGGGGCACCATTCACCCTACAGTCATCGGAAATTTATGTAATGTTAAAACAATTTTCCAGCAGATGGCAGTAAAGTATCTTGAGGAGTAAGGTCCTTTTCCTAACTCACACAAGGTCATAGAGGCTAGTAAAAGCTCTGCTCATTTTCCTTCTTCCACACGCTCTCCCCCAAGTTAAGTACGTAGAATTCCAAGAGAATCTTCACAGATATTGGGATTGCCTGCAACAGGTGATACTAGCATTTATTCCTTGAATGAATGCTGGCTGAGTTACAGAAACTCTTAGGCCTACCCCAGGCTACTTACTATCAGAGCAGAGCTGGGAGATCTGAGAGAGCTTGATAAGATTCCCAGGAGTCTTAGACTTAATGCCCATTCTTATCTGGAGAAGTCTGAAGGCAAGAGACTGGCTAGAACTACTATGACAACAAGACAAGGAGAGGGGAGTCAGAGCTAGTTACAGTGTACTTCAAACACTTGGCATGTCAAGAGTGCATGAGCCAAATGGAAACCCTCACTACAGGTAGCCAGTTGTGAATTGTCTGAAAGAAACTTGTCTGAGTAAACTGACCACTGAATGACAGTCACTCCCCCACACCCCCTCATTCCTCACCTCCACCCTGCCAAAAAGAGAAGATGTACAACTAGAGGACAGAAAAAGTGAGGGAAGATCACCAAAGTTACCCAGAGAAAAGATTACCTTTGGCATAGAAAGGTGTGTGGAAGTCCACCACAGGTTTCCCATAAAAGTGCTTCATAAAGGAGAGACACCTGATCACAGAGGGCATTCCACAGGTAAGAGAAAACCATAATAGCACTAACCTTTGCCCATTTACCAGTCATCTATTCATCCTTCCTTACCCTGGAAGTGCCACAGCTGCAAAAAAAGCAGAAGGAAAAAGAAAAGTTAAAGTTAAACTACGTTCTGCCTCCCTTTGTGAGTTCCTAATTTATCAACCAAGCCTAAGGAATTACTACTCACCGTATCTACTTTTGTTCTGTCTGAAGAGAACACAGATTTTTATTTGGTGGTCTTCTCTTCCCCATGCAATTCATGTGCAATAGGGGAAGCTAAACATCCTAACAATAACAACCCACTCTACCACCACAGCACTAGTTCTTATACTCTGACAACTACTTAACATAGCTCAAAGAAATTTTTAAAGATCTAAATAAATGGAAAGACATTTCATGTTCATGGATCAGAAGGCTTAATATTGTTAAAAGAAGGCAATTCTTTTCAAAATGATCTACAGATTTAACACAATTCCTGTCAAAATCCAACCTGGCTTTTTTGTAGAAATTGACAAATTCCTAAATTTTATATAGAAATGTGAGGAACCCAGAATCACCAAAGCAATCTTAAAGAACAAAGTTGGAGAACTCATGCTCTGATTTCAAAATTTACTACAAAGCTACAGTAATCAAGACAGTGTGTTACTGATAGAAGAATAAGCATATAGATCAGTGAGGTAGAGCTAAAAGCCTGGAATAAACCTGACATTTACAGTCAACTGATTTTCTACAGGATGCCAAGACAATCCAATTGGGAAAGAATAATCTCTTCAACAAACAGTGTTGGGACAACTGGATACTCACATGCAAAGAATTAAATGGGATCCCTTCCTCATACTACACACAAAAAAAAATTTGCTTAAGTTGGATCATAGGCACAATTATAAGAGCTAAAATTATAAAATTCTTAGAAGAAAACATAGAGGAGGTGCCTGGGTGGCTTAGTCCACAAAGTGTCTGACTTGATTTCAGCTCAGGTCATGATCTCAGGGTTGTGAGATGGAACCCTGTGTCTGCTCCATGCCCAGCATGGAGCTTAAGATTCTCTCTCTTCTTCTCCCTCTGCCCCACCCCTCCCCTCTCCCTCTTAGAGAAGAAGAAGAAGAAGAAGAAGAAGAAGAAGAAGAAGAAGAAGAAGAAGAAGAAGACCACCACCACCAAAGCACACATGACAAAATAAATAATTTTTTAAAATGGGCTTTGTCAAGGTTAAAAACCTTTGTGCCACAAGAAAGTGAAAAGACAACCCACAAAATGGGGAAAGTGTTAGCAAATTATGTATTTGAAAAGAGACTTGTATCAAATATATAAAGAACTCTTAGAACTTAATAAAGAGAAAACAACCCAATTTTAAAATAGGCAAATGAGGGCTGCCTGAGTGGCTCAGTCAGTTAAGTGTCTGCCTTTGGCTCAGGTCCATGACGGTAGGATCTTGGGATGGAGCCTGGACGCTGGCCCCCTGATCAGCAGAGGAGTCTGCTTCTCCCTTTCCCTCTGCCTTGTTCATGTGCTCTCTCTCTCACTCACTCCTTCAAATAAACAAATATACATTTTTTTAATGGGCAAATGAAATATTTCTCCAAAGAAAATAAAATGGGGGCAGCCCGGGTGGCTCAGCGGTTTAGCGCCGCCTTCGGCCCAGGACCTGATCCTGGAGACGTCAGATCAAGTCCCACGTCGGGCTCCCTGCATGGAGCCTCTTCTTCTTCCCTCTGCCTGCGTCTCTGCCTCTCTGTGTGTGTCTCTCATGAATAAATAAATAAAATCTTTAAAAAAAAAAAGAAGAAGATAAAATGGCCCATAACACATGAAAAGATGCTCATTAACTATATGTTGAAATGGAATTTGCATATGGAAATGCAAATAAAAACCGCAGTGAAATACCACTTTGAAAAATAGCCATTAGGGGGCGCTGGGTGCCTCTATTGAACGTGAAACTCTTGCCTCCGGATCTCAGGGTTGTGGGATCTAGCCAGACTGAGGTCAATTCCCAGTCTGTTTGGGACTTATTTATTTCACTTAGCATTATACGCACTATCTCCATCCATTCTGTTGCAAATGGCAAGATTTCATTTTATGGCTCAATAATATTCCGTTTATCCATTCATCTATCAATGAACACTTAAGTTACTTCCATTATTTGGTTATTGTAACAAATGCTGCAATACATATAGAGGTGTGTGTATCCCTTTGAATTAGTGTGTTTGTATTTTTGGGTACTCAGTTCTTTGATTATTAGATCATAGGGTAGTTCTATTTTTAACTTTTTGAGGAAACTGGCTATACCAATTTGCATTCCACCAGCGTATGAGGGTTCCTTTTTCTCCACATCCTCAACAACTCTTGTTGTTTCTTGTTTTGTGAATATTGAACTACACTTGCATCCTGGGAGCAAATCCCACTTGATCGTGGTATATGATTTTTTAAAATGTATTGTTAGATTTGGTTTGCTAGTGTTTTGTTGAAGATTTCTGCATGTATGCTCATCAAGATATTGCCCTGTAGTTTCTCTCTCTCTCTCTTCTCTTTCTCTCTCTCTCTCTTTTGTAGTATCTTTATCTAGTTTGGGTATGAGAGTGATACTGGTCTCACTGAATGAATTTGGAAACTTTCCTACCTCTTCTATTTTTTGGAACAGTTAAAGAAAAATAGGTACTAATTCTTCTTTAAATATTTGGTAGAGAGGCATTACTTAGTTCCGGGCCTTGCAGAAACTCGGTTTTTTTCTTCCCCTGCACAGGAGACCTCTGCCGCAACCATGTTACACCAGATCATGGGTCAGGCCAAGAAGCATCCGAGCTTGATCCCCCTCTTCATATTTACTGAGGCAAGAGGTACTGGAGCAGCACTGTATGTGTTGTGCTTGGCAATGTTCAATCCAGATGTCAGTTGGGATAGGAAGAATAACCCAGAACCTTGGAACAAACCGGGTCCCAATGATCAATATAAGTTCTACTCAGTGAATGTAGATTATAGCAAACTGAAGAATGAAGGTCCAGACTTCTAAATGAAATGTTTCACTATAAAGCTGCTTAGAATGAAGGTCTTCCAGAAGCCATCCGCACAATTTTCCACTTATCCAGGAAATATTTCCCCTCTAAATGCATGAAATCATGTTGGTGTATTGTGTTGGGGTTTACACTGAATAATAAATATCTGAAACTTGAAAAATAAATATATATATATTTGGTAGAACTCACCTGTGAAGCCATCTGCCCTGGACTTTTACCTATTGAGAGTTATTTGACTACAGATTCAATTTCTTTGCTCGTAATTGGTCTGTTCAAATATTCTACTTCTACCTGCTTCACTTTTGATGGATTATATGTTTCTAGGAGTTTATCTATTTCTTCTAGGTTGTCCAATTTGTTGGCATACAATTTTTCATAATATTCTCTTACAATTGTTTGTATATTGTGGTGTTGGTTGTTAATGCTCCTCTTTCATTTGTGATTTTGTTGGAGTTCTCTCCGACCTCCTCCCCCACCCCCCAGCTAGAGAGTCTAGCTAGAGATTTATCAATTTTGTTGATCTTTTCAAAGAACCAGCTCCTGATTTCATTGATTTTTTCTATTTTTGTTGCTGTTATTTCTATGTCATTTATTTCTGCTCTGATCTTTATTTTCTTCCTTCTGCTGGGTTTATGCTTTGTTCGTTCTTTTTTCTAGCCTTTTTTGTTTATTTGAGATTTTCCTGCTTCTTCAGATAGGCCTATATTGCTGTAAACTTCCTTCTTAGAACAGCTTTTGCTGCACCCCAATAGTTTTGGACCTTTGTGTTTTCATTTTCATTTGTTTCCATGTAATTTTTTATTTCTTCTTTAATTCCTTGGTTGACCCACTCATTGTTTAGTAGCATGTTTTTAACCACCATGTATTTGTGCTCTTTCCAGATTCTTTCTTGTTGATTTTCACTTTCATAGCATTGTGACCAGAAAATATACATGATATGACTTTGATCGTTTTGAAGTTACCAAGACTAGTTTAGTGGCCTAGTATGTGATCTATTCTGAAGAATGTTCCATGTGCACTTGAAAAGAATATGTATTCTGCTGATTTAGGATGGAGTTCTGAATATATCTGTTAAATCCATCTGGTTCAGTGCATCAATCAAAGCCACTGTTTCCTTAATGATTCCTTATTTGGATGATCTGTCCTATGATGTAAGTGGGGTATTAAAGTTCTACTATGAGTGCCTGGGTGGCTCAGTGGTTGAGCATCTGCCTTTGGTTCAGGTCATGATCCCAGGGTCCTGAGATTGAGTCCCACATTGGGTTCCCCACAGGGAGCCTACTTCTCCTTCTGTCTGTGTCTCTGCCTCTCTCTGTGTGTCTCTCCTGAATAAATAAATAAATAAATAAATAAATAAATAAATAAATAAATAAATAAAGTCTTTTAAAAATAAAGCTCTACTATTATTGTATTACTATCAATTTTCCTTTATTTTTTTAAAGATTTTATTTATTTATGCATGAGACACACACACACACGCACACAGAGAGGCAGAGACAAAGGCAGGGGGAGAAGCAGGCTCCATGCAGGGAGCCTGATGAGGGACTCAATCCTGGGACTCCAGGATCACACCCTGGGCTGGAGGCAGGCACTAAATCGCTGAGCCATCCTGGCATCCCCTTTATGTTTATCATTAATTGTTTTATGTATTCGAGTGCTCCCATGTTGGGTATATAAATATGTACAATTGTATGTTCTTGTTGGGTTTTCCCTTTAATTATTATATGGTGTCCTACTTTGTCTCTTGTTACAGTCTTTGTTTTAAAGTCTACTTTGTCCCATGTAAATATTGCTACCCTGGCTTTCTTTTAACATCAGTTTTCATGATAAATATTTCTCCATCCCCTCACTTCTAATCTACAGGTGTCTGTAGGTCTGAAATGAGTCTCCTATTAGGCAGCATATAGATGGATCTTGGTTTTTTTTTTTTTTTTAACCATTCTGTAACCTTATGTCTTTCAATTGAAGTGTTTTGTCCATTTACTTTCAAAGTAATTACTGACAGATAATGTGTTCATTGCCATTTTGTTTCTTGTTTTGTGGTTGTTTTTGTAGTTTTTCTCTGATTCTC